TTTTTTCACTTTTTTGCACTGTTTGTTCGACTAGGTGATGACTGTGTTGCGATCAATGGTGGCTCATCTTTTATCAACATCACTGGTGTTGACTGTGGACCGGGCCACGGTATCAGGTTGTGTTGAATACCCTGTTTTCTTTCATTCTTGAAACAAAAAACTTTGGTGTTGACTGTGGACCGGGCCACGGTATCAGGTCTCTGTTCAATACCCTGTTTTCTTTCATTCCTGAAACAAAAAACTTTGGTGTTGACTGTGGACCGGGCCACGGTATCAGGTCTCTGTTCAATACCCTGTTTTCTTTCATTCTTGAAACAAAAAACTTTCTTTGCTAGCAACGTTTGGAAGGGCTATTTGAGATTTTATTCAACATTTACTTCATTTTGAGTAGAGCTTGAGTTGCCAGCTTACCCGTAAAATCTCTCTCCATTTGCAGTATTGGGAGCCTTGGTGATGGTGGAGCTAATGACACAGTTGAAGAGGTACATGTAAACAGCTGCAACTTCAATCATACTCAGAATGGAGTAAGAATTAAGACATTTCAGGTAATTAAAATTGAAGTTATGACAAGACTGATCCATAAACGTTTATTATCAGATTTTCATTTTAGCTTATTGCTGAAAGCCTTAAAATGGACTAATATGAATAAAATTTTGTAGAACGGATCGGGTTTTGCCAGGAATATATATTTAGAGCACATCGGCTTGGACAATGTCAGTAACCCCATTATTATTGACCAGTTCTATAAAGATAGGAGCAAACCTCCTCAAGAAGTACTGGTAAAATTTCCTCTCATCCATATAATTAGTTCGTATCTCTTTAACCTTTTAACTAAGGCATAATCATTTGTTATATATATGATATTGATGCAGGAAACAGGTGCAGGGATTCAAGTGAGCCATGTTACCTACTCTGATATTCACGGAACATCTGCCAGCGATGTTGCTATCGATCTGAGGTGCAGCAATGTTGTGGGCTGCAGCAACATCGTAATGGATAATATTAACATAATATCAGCTGTTCCTGGTCAGGATGTCCGTAGCTCCTGCAAAAATGCTCAAGGAACTGCTGCTTCAGTACACCCTGAAGTACCATGCTTGTCGTGATCCTCTTGGGCTATAATATTCATGTACGCCACGATGTTATGTTCACTAAGATTGTTACTTGTACCCTTTGAAGGAGTAGATGTAGAACCAGTGTTGAAGGGCAGGAATACAAGTAGTTACATGGCGTTTAAATTCTATGTTTCTTTAATTCCATGCATCTAATTGATATAAATCATATTACGTTATCCTCAAACTGTAATTTTTTTTTAAAAAAAAAGCAATATTTCATATATTGACGATCAACATGGAGTGCATTACGCTCTGATACAAATCTTTAACCTTTTTATTAATAAACAGAAGACTTGTTTCAATGTAATTAACATCCACGTTCTGCCAAAGGTACAACGTTTCAAGTCCTTCGTTGTTTACATTTCCTATCAGCCTTAGCTGATATCCAAACATTGATCTCTCTTTATACCGGAGCTGGTGATCAATCATACAACACGAAAACCAGCCCCATCGCCCCTCTCCCCCCAATCAGTGTAGCGTTTCTATTTTCCCTGCACTCGTAGAGTATCAAACTGTAATTAATAAGTATTTCGGAAAAGTTTCGATTCTTCGAAAATTATAATCTTTAATGAAATATATACAACTCTTTTTTCATAATTTTCCTTCATCATATAAATAAAACCGTTTCAAGTTCATTCAAAAATTAACTCACTTCAAGTTGATTGAAAAAAATAGACAAACATCAAGCACATCCACAAACTGTATAAGAGCTCATATAAATCTCGCCAAACCAACTAAACATTGCTGGCGGGGGAACATTGCTGCCAGTTTGGCTGCTGCTGCTTCATTAATGGCAACAAAAAGAAAATCCCCATTAATGAAGTCACGTTAGTGTTTCAACTTTGATTTCAATTTGCTCTCTTACAGCAAGCAAATTCTAATCCAGTATTTAAAAAAAAAAACAAAATAAAAGAAGCAACGAACTAAAAGAGAAGAGCCAGCCAGGCCCTACACAAGTCAAATCCCAAATCCAAAGCAGACGGTGACCGCATTTGTGATTGGGTCTGGGAGGACGGTTGGACGGAATAAATTGCTTGTCCTACGACAGATGAGCCTCATTACTCACCCACGCGTGACAGTTGGGTTACTTTCATATTGTTGAAGCAAAAGACAAACTCGGTTTACTGCTATATATACCTTACTTATTGCACGGTGAAGAGTGAGCTAATTTTTGCTTAAGCTTCTAGCTTGTCAACAATGGGTGCTTTTGCTCGTTCTTTTGTGGTTGCTTTCTTGTGTATTCTTCTCGTGGATGGTCTTGTGGTTGCTGATGATGAAGTTAGTGGAGTTGAAGATGACAAGCGTTTGCTTCATCGTCCATTTTTGTTCAAGGCCAAGGGAGGAGGTCTAGGACGTGGAATATATAAGAAGGGTTTTAGGCATGGAATTGGTGGTGGTCTAGGTGGTGGTTTTGGGGGAGGTGGAGGTTTAGGTGGAGGAGGAGGTATTGGTGGTGGCACTGGTGGAGGTTTTGGTGGTGGCGGTGGTCTTGGGGGTGGTGTGGTGGAGGTTTTGGTGGTGGTGGAGGTTTTGGGGTGGCGGTGGTGGAGGGTTAGGAGGTGGTGGAGGCCTAGGTGGTGGTGGTGGGCTTGGTGGTGGTGCAGGAGGTGGCTTAGGTGGTGGTGGAGGCCTTGGTGGTGGTGGAGCCTTGGTGGTGGAGCAGGAGTAGGGCTAGGTGGTGGCCATAAGCTTGGTGGAGGTGCAGGAGGTGGACTAGGTGGTGGAGGAGGACTTGGTGGTGGCCACAAGCTGGTGTGGAGGTGCAGGAGGTGGACTAGGTGGTGGAGGAGGACTTGGTGGTGGCCACAAGCTGGGTGGAGGTGCAGGAGGAGGATTAGGTGGTGGTGGAGGGCTTGGTGGTGGCCATAGGCTTGGTGGAGGTGCTGGAGGTGGATTAGGGGGTGGAGGTGGCCTTGGTGGTGGCCATAGGCTTGGTGGAGTGGCAGGTGGTGGACTTGGAGGAGGTGGCGGCATTGGTGGTGGAGGTGGTCTTGGAGGTGAGGCAGGAGCAGGAGGAGGGCTTGGTGGAGTGGTGGTGGAGGCCTTGGTGGTGGTGCTGGGGGTGGAGGAGGATTTGGTGGTGGTGGTGGAGTTGGGTAGGGTTTGGAGCTGGTGGAGGATTTGGCAAAGGTGGAGGAGCAGGTGGTGACTTGGAGGAGGTGGAGGAGGAGGATTTGGTGGTGGTGGCGGCTTTGGTGGTGGTGGGGGTGTTGGTTTGGCGGTGGAGTTGGCCTTGGTGCTGGTGGTGGCGGTCGACACTAATACACATTGAATGAAAAAACCTCAAGTTCATTACAGATATCCATAGTTGGCTGTTTATGATTTTTTTTTTTTTTTTGGTTTTAGCCAAATGCTAACTAGGAATCCCTATGCTCATTGCCTCGATGAAACTTGTTCTTCTATCAGTACTGATGCATGTGCTTATAGACCATGTATACACACTAGAGGGTTTGTGTTCGTATAGCCTGTTACTTGTTCATGCACGCTTGCATGCAATGCCACGCAAGACAAGCTTGTAAGATTGCAGTCTCTTTTCTCTGCAAATAAAAATTTTCTTTGTGTCTAAACATTGCTTACATGTTGCGTGATAACATACGTGACCTGAGAACAATTAATTGAAAAATATGAAGATTCAAGGTAACTGTGTGAACAACAAAAATATCACCAACCAGTGGAAATGCAATAGCAGCTTGTAAATATAAAAATAGGCCAGCAGACCTATAACCAATTGACACTCACATTTATTTTCTGTCAGATAATGGTGTACACTGGCCGGCTAGCTAGCATACTTAGTGCTTTAATTTACTTGTCAAGAACTGTAGAATTATTGTTGATGTCTGGGTCCAGGGCCAAATTAAATGTTTACAGTCATAAGTAATTAAGCAGCGGTATTGAAACGATTTGACTTGATCAGGGGTCCTAGTTATTACAAGAGCCTATCGCTGGTTGGATTGTACTTAATGAAATTTTCGCCCAGTGAGACAGGGAGTTAATTAAATCCTCTGCAAATTCCAGCTATAACCAAAACGACGAAAAAGTCAGTCGTCTAGAGAAGTTTATTAGCTAGGGAAGCAAGCAGCCAAAGCAGGATAAGAAATAAGTTAGAAGGTTCATTCTTGGCTGAAGAATATATAAAGAATTAGTTAGTATGACAAGGATTCTTGCGGCAGGTTTGCTTTGGGTTTAGCTTAGGTGGGTAAGAGAGAAAGAAGATTTTACATTCAGGAATTGAGAAATGCAATACAAGCTTAAAACAAGATAATGATCAAACACAACAAACATTCAAGTTTATATAAAAATAATGTCCAACACCAACTTAAACCAGTGAAGTGAAGCGAAGCGACGTTAGATGTTAATATGTTTACTGTTTCATAAGAATTTACTAACTCTACCGACAAATTGTACCGCGATAACTGGCCTCTGCCAGGTTACGGCCCTTGCATTAAGTGTGTGAACCTAAGCTAGCTGAGACAATTTAGTGCTAGGTCACATTTGAGTGTTGCTTTTCTAACGTTTAAAGTCGTATGCTTTATGGAAGAAGAAAAGACCAAACACTGTTATTAAAACCAAGTGACCCATGGGCCCATCGCCACTTGATTTTTTTACCAAATTGGTTGGATTGGTCTTAAATCTCCTGTTCAATACTAAAATTTACCATCACAAAATGCCCTAAAATTAATCATTCATCTTTTTCTTGGTGATTTGGGCTAGGAAGGTAGCTTGATTGGGCCAAAGGGCCCCTGACCTTCTTTTTCTTGCACTTCCCCGAGAAGTTATAGGCTGATAGCCTTTCTTGGGACTAAACTCCCAATTATTACTGAAAATCCCAGTTGGCCTTTATTAACTACCCTGGCCAGAACCCGCCGGTTGGCCACTGATAAACTACATGATAGACATGAGTAAAATATATATGGATCAACCACATATAATAGCCTTGAATTGATTTCAATATGTTGAAATGTTATCCTCTTAATGTAACATATGCTTTTAAATCTATGTATATAGTTCCTTACCTTAACAATTTACTCAAATTCTATATGCATAATTTGGAGGAGTATGAATGGTCAGAAGATGAGATATTTCAACTTAAAGGGTATAAAATTCAGTATTAAGGAGTACTAGAAATAAGATTTACGGGGATAAGAGAAAAATCATATTTCCATAAATATAACTCAAATTTTGATAAATCTAAATAAAATTTAAAAAAGAAAAGAAAAAACCAAATTATCATATACTTTTAACCTTTTGCATCCAAGGGTGAAAAATCATCCAATTGGTCGAGATTATGTTTAAAGGCTTTGCCATGATAGCATCTATCAGTTTAAATATGATGGTATTTATTCAGATTAAGCTATAATGTTAACATATAGTAACATTTATATTTCTTTTGTTATTTACTTCGCTGCTGTAATTTTTCGAGGACTTCAGGCAGTAATTTGTGACAGTAAAAATGATGAGAGAGAGAGCGACGTGCTAAGACACATGACAAGACGACTGATTTCTTATACGAAACATAAAGGGCATTTGGGTACACCTATCTTCTTTGGTTAATGACAAAACTAGCAGCCACCAAAAATTGAACTTGGGGTTATTATGCTAGGAGGAGATTAATTTGAACATAAATGAAGATGAAATCTTTTATATTTTTCAAAAAAGTCAAGCATTTGCATGTTAGATTAACAATCCTTTGTCAACCCAAAGTGAGGAGAATGGCTTCCATTTCCTAGCTAGCTAGATTTAATCTTTTCCCCTTGCTAGCAAGTAAGAATATGCACTAGTGTTTGGATTGACGGAAGGGCAGATGCCTGCTTGGAATCGGCAAAGAAAAAACCAAGGAATTGCATTAATGAAACAAAGTACAAAAGAGAATCATCAAGGTTTTATATGGTTATTAGTGAGCAACGTATTCACTTATACAGAGGATTTCCCACTACACTACTGGTGATGACCAAATCATATCTTATGACTTTTCGGTTTCAGATTTCTCGGGACATGTGTTTTGACAAGACAAATGAGGAAAAATCCATGTCCCATTTAATTGAATGATTTCCAAAGCTTAAAAAAGCAAAAGGGCAACCCACCCACTATCCACACCAAAAGATGACAGATCTGTCACCATTAAACTCCAGTCAGCTTCAAAGAGACACTCACTTTGCATCTCTCTCTCTCTCTTTCTTTCTCTCATGAGAGCCTTGCTTCATAAAAACCCATCTGCTTCATGGATAAGCATTTGGAAGCAGATTCAGAATCAGATCATCGAGAAGATGCCTATGCTTAGGGTTTATTTCACATGGGGCAATGGGCCCGCTTTTGAGTTTGTACCTCAAGCAAAAATTCCATACTGAAAACTCTTGAAAACTACAAGACTTTCTTTAGATTTATGAGATCTCAAAACTGTTATGACAAGATTAGGTAATTACTTGTTTAGTTAAATGATATAATAATTCAATTGATTTACGATGATATCACTCAATAAAAGACATCATAAAGTATGTCAAATCATATCTCTGCAACTAATAATTATACCAGAAATGAAGCATAATTTCTCTTTAGAGTGAACTATTACATAAAACCAATATACCAGGGCAATTGTTCTCTTCTGTCTTCAGAAAAATGTCTTACATATGCATATATAAATCATAAAACAAGTATATAATTCCATGCATGTAACAGTGTACCACATCCTGGCAAAGTGAAAATTGAGACAAATATTCCAAGTATAACTACTTTCTATATGTAGTCGTTATATACATTCCTTGCAGCATAAAAAAAAGAAGAGGGATGGGAGAATTCAGAATGAGGATGGTAAATTTAAAGACAATCGAACACGATAATGTTGGTGAAAATTGATGCTGCTTTGCTTACTTGTTGGATTCAGGATTTGGTCCACTAGGCACCTCGTGAGCAGCTGCCTTGAACTGTCGATCTGTAGTAGCAGTACTGCTGCCAGTAGTGCTGGTGGTAGTGGAGGTAGCAGCTGGGGTAGAAGAGGTGGAAAATGGGTGCAAATTTGTGGTAGAAGATGAGAGAAGTTGCCTGTAAGAGGAGCATATGGGAACCTTGGACATATAAGCTGGACGAGCAAAGAGAGGGGCAATCAGGAGAAGCACAAGAAAGAGGAGCAGCAAGGCATGTGACTTTGTTGAGGTTTCACAGATTGATGATTTGTTAGCTGTGGCCATGAAATTGCTATGACAAATAAACCAGTGCCCCCCAGTAATCCAGAAGGGATCAATATCCATGAACCAGTCAAGACTACCAAAGTCTGGTTTTTCTAAAGCAACAAGAGAACAAAAAATAAAAGAAACGAAAAAAAGAACAAGAAGGTAATGGTGAAATGGTGGAGTGTGAAAGTTGAAAGACAAATTTTTTATGCATTCCAGGATCTTATATAATGAGGTTAAAAGTTACATCACCTGCTTGTGAAATACCCTTAATGCCCAACTCTTATATCGTGTAACATTTGGCATTTGGTTACTAAATTAATTATATTTTACATATAACTACTAATGTTAAGTGTTCTGTGTAAAGTATAGTATATGATTCCTGATACATAGTACTAGAATCTAAAACTATATAAAGTGAAAGATGAATTATTATTCAGTGCACTTATTTAATGGTAGGAAGAAACCTAACTATGAAATTAAGATATTAAGAACATATCATAAAAATAAAAACATATTAAACAATTAATTGTATAGTTTATATAATATACCAAGGAGTACAGTATATGCAAAAATAAGCTTTACTTTGATTAAACAAGGTCTTCATGGTCATGTGGCCAAAAAAAAAAAACCCAAAGAAGAGAGAAAACATTCAACTTGAGTGATATGGTCAAGCAGGAAAAAAGCAATTAATCCCGGAAAGATAAAGCAGGAGAGATAGCAGAAGGAAAGGAGATGAAAGATGGTGGCTTTATCTTTCTTGGCTGCTTCTGCAAGAAATCGCTTCTTTGACTTGGTGAACCCCCTAATGGAAAAATCAAGTTCTATACATTACTACTTAGTTGGTATCGTGTCTTGTTGCCTTTTTATCAAAATTTGAATTAAAGAACACAGAGAAAGCAAAGCATCATATGACCCCTCATTTGCTGCTTTTCTCTGCTTGTGAAAATCCAGGGCTTGTCTCCATGATCTGATGCATAGGGTCCCCACTTCCTCTATGGCCCTATCTATCTGAGAAGAAGAAAATATTTTCTTTTTGGAAACGATTACAAATTAATATTATGCACGTTATGCGTTAAGGTCATTTTGGTAAATATAATCCAACATTTTCTTTCTGCTTTTTCTGGCCTTGCTACCCCTTACATTATTTACTTTCCATGAGAAAGTTGTGAAAGAAAATTCTGGTGTTGTGTATGCTAAGGTTTGGATGAGGTACGCCACTCACCTCCCTTTTATCATAGCCATATAATTTCGTACTAGAAAAACTATGCCATATTTGGGGAATTACTTTTGAGAATTCCTGTTTCAAAAGAATCACAACTAAATACTAGAAATCTTTTCCATCATTCCTATGCTGATCCATTACTCTGTTTGGTGAGAGAATTGAGGAGAAAGAGAAGAAAAATAAATATACCAATACTATATGTTCGACTTTTCTGGTAGCAATATTCTTGTATACCCTCCCATTAAAAAGATGATTACTTTTAAATTAGACACCATAAATTCTTACTCCCACATATATTAAGGATTACTAGTTACAAGTTTCATGCAACCAAGAAGGGGTTAAAGAAATTTTCCTTTTTTAATCTAATGCTGCTTTCAACTAGGTAAAGTAGTCAAAATATAGAATTCATCAACCGACAATATGATTATCATATTTATATAATCCTCCCATCAACATCAGAAATATATAAACATATATTTCACTGGTTTAATCTTAGTTTTAAACGACAAAACAGCCTTAAGGCACCAACCTCTCAGCCCCCCAACCCGGCGGTCCCGGCCCCTATACTATGAAAAAAAAGATAGAGACAAAGTTATTCTTACGCGTGATCGCATTGGTTTTATTTGATTTGATATTATATATGATATTGATATTGAAGTAGATGGATAGAATCATGTATGCTTTATATGCATTTGATAGTAAGTTTCACATGAAATTAAGTCACCGAAAATTTTTGCAAACTGTTTGAGATATATATTTAAAGCAATGAAATTGAACTTTTCTTTTTCCTTAAAAGTGGCACTCCATGATTATGGAAATTTTGCAGACTAGCTATAGCTAGAATAACGTGGACTTGTTGATGGAGTAATGATGCTAGGGTTCATATGATTCCCGAGATACACTATACCAACCAGCACGTAGACCAGGTAAAGCTGCCCTTGTTCTTTTCTTCTTTTCCTCTTTCCTCTTTTCCTTTCCCAAATAAATCATTAGCCAGGGGTTTATTGGTTTCTAGGATGTTTAATTAGCTATAGACTATAGTTTCTTATCAGGCTAGCTTGAAGCTTAATTTGAACATGAACATTCTCTCTTTCCCCTTGATATTGAACATTGGTTATCTAAAGCCTAGTTCTTTTGTTCATGCAATGTTAACACCCAAGACTAGGCCACTTATTATTTTTCTTTAAGGGTAAGGCTTATGGTTTGAATCCTTTCTGAAAGGGTTTTTTTTTTTTCGTGTACATAAATTTAAAAAATATGCCAAGCCATCAACAAATTGAAGGTTTTCCTTGCAAAATCATCATAGATTTCTAAGCAATTTGTGCAAATTTTCATTCCCATTTATTTGTCAACAACCGAGCTGATATGGTAATAATTAAAGTGCCTTTAGCACAGAAGGATTTTATTGGTTAAAAAATCAGTGTCAGGCTTTAATTAGTCAGGGGCTTAATGTGATTGCGGCTTTCATGTCTGTTAGGTAATTGTTTGTTAGATTGTCAGGAGGTGATGGCGACCAGAGGAAATTTACGCGCATGTCTTGCTTTTGTGTTGGTGGGCTGGCTGGCTGGCTGGCTAGTTCTGCCATTCTAGACTTCATATAACTTTGCCAACAACACGTATATCTTTTTGAAAGATGAGTGTATCTCTGTTTTCATATTTATTATTGCATGGGAAAACTAATTCTTTCCCATCCACGTAAAGCTTTCGCACAAACTCATAAGAGCTGACGAACGGTTGATTTAGCTATCAAGTCATCGAATTAATTAGATCACCATGTTGCCCTGTTGATAGTTTGATTGCGATGTAGCCAACCTTGCCTCGTTTCAGTTCCCATTCGGAGGTGGTCTAGTCGGGATTTAGAGCTAAAACGGTACTTTAATTCCAAATCAAATCATATTTGTATAATTACTTTAATGTAAATGAGGGTAGTGTCACATTTATCATAGACTCTAGTATATAATAAGATCATTACTTTTGCTACTTTAGTCGAGGTAATTCATTTATCTATATCCGATATCATAACATATTAAATACTAATGTTTAAAGTTATTAACCGTTAAATTTTTGGATTAAGGAAATAGAGTTGTGAAAAAATTCATAATAATTTTTATAATTTTATTTATATTTTCTAAAATTATATGTACAAAATTCAAGAAAAAAATGTACATGAAAAATTCTAAGAGAAAAATAAAATTATTTTGTTACGAACTTTAATCTATTGAAGAAAAAAGAACACTAACTTTTAAATAAATATAAGTTATTCTAAATACACTTTTTTAAACTCTCTCTAGTATTTTCATCGTTATACTGAACAGGACTTGCTGTTACAGCTGCGCTCGTATCATCATGATCAATCATTTTGCTGTGATGATCATCTTCATGATCCCAGTATTGCGCTGCTATCATATATATCATGATCAATCATATTGTTGTGATGACCATCTTTATGCTCCAATTATCCTTCTCATTCCCATCTTGTATGGGGCTGTATTTTTTTTTTCTCAATTCCATTTACTTTTTGATATAAAGTTTGACAACTTGTTACATAAGGGTTATATATTAATGAGAACAGAGGAAAAGCATGCTTTCTTTAATTTCTTCATTTTTTTTATTGAAAAAGTGGGTTTGTGATCAACCAATCAATTTTATGTGCCAAGAAACCTATATGTTTACATTAATCTTCATTAATTTACAATTAACTACGATCCATGTATATACTATAAATCTATTTAGAGTTTAAGATTTCCAATTTATGGGTCTCATGTTGCAATTCAAGATTAATTGAACCTGAAGTTAATGGCATGTGAAACTCAACACCTAATTAATACACCTAACCAAAACGCTCCCAATGAAAAGAATAACAATGATCAACTTGGCAGCTGAATGTGAATAAAGGCCTCAAATAATTAATGTACTATATATTTCAGAGTTCAAAATGACTTTTTGTTCACATAAACACACCAAAACGACATGATTAATTATTAGTCAATGTATGAAAGGAAAGAGAGAAAAAAGTTAGCATGTGTTTTGATGAAGAGGGATCAAATTTATGCATCCGTATGCCTTGTCTTATTGATGACAATGTGACATCTAACTACAAGTCATAATTTCAAATTAAGCCTTTATCTAATCTTTTCTTTTCCTTTTTTTTGGATATGACAGCACTTCTACACAAGATCTCTCTAGTTGAGATTATGCATGCATGGCAAGGGCCTCGTTTTATCCCATCGTTACACTATATGGTAATTTTAGTTAAGGAAAATTATTCTATTTCCATCCCCGAACTCATCATCCATGCATTAGCCATTTGACAAACTTGTTTACCCATTTATATATGAATAAACAAAGTAAGAGGTCAATATATATACACCTTTGTACATACCATCTTTTAGTCAACTCATAACCCAACATTGCTTTGATTATTTTTCATTTATAGCAGTTATGTTTAGCATTCAACAACAAAATTATGAGTTAGAAATTTTCGAATTAAAATCATGTAATATTAATTTTCAATCATTACATAATTTTAGTTTCTGTTCAGTAATTTGATTGAGAACTAGATCACAATATTCACTGAAAAAACAAAGGTAAGACTTTTAATTTTTATCAATTGAATTTCTTTGTTGGCTTGGTTTTGATGATCAAGTAGTGATTATGCTGTTATGCATGAAAAGAAACTGTTCTCCAATTGAGTTGTAAATTACCCTCTTTTCTTTATTAAGATTAGATGTCCATCACATGAAACCATACCAAATTTATCATGATTTTGCTTAACCTTTTCTTTCGCTCATTTTAGTTGGTTACAACATGAGACAAATAATGGGCTAAAGAAGAAAAGATGGTGGAAACTTTTAGAAAAAAAAAAGTGTTGACATTAATACTAACTAATTACTGTATGATTGACAAGTTTATTGGAAAAAGGGCACAGTGCATGCAAAATTAGTCAGGAAAAAAAGTTGATCCTACCCAAATTTAATTTTTACTTTATCATCTTTCAAATGAGTATTATCAAACTTTATTAATGCTTGTTCTTTTCATTTTTAGTAAGGATGACTCTTCCCTGATGTCATGGGGACATCAATCCACTCAAAAAGAAAATATTACGTCTATGATGATTCATTTTAGGTCATAGTAACAAAATATAATCATATTGTTAAATTCTTTCAAATTATACTAAACTTGGACTTAAATTCTGCTACGAATGGAAGACATTGCATTGTCGATATGGGCTAATGTAGTAATTTTTTGTCCAAGTCTATCAGGCCCGGTGCAAGTGAGCTGGGTTTATATTAAAGAAAGCAGGAAAGTGACAGATAAGCCGTGAAAGAATACTGTCTTCTTTTTGGGCCGATTGCTTACTTCAATCAACATAAGTTGGGCAACTTCTTTCTCGACCTTTTGGTTTGTTATTACTATTTGTTAAATGAATATTTATCTAATTTGTTTATTTTAAGTTAATTATTATATTTTTTATATTTAATTAATTTTTATATATTTTAATATTAAGTCAAATAAGTTATTGTACTTTTATTTTGAGCTAATAAATTTTTATAATTAAGGATTGACTTAATCAATATATCACTTGTTATTTTATATTATATAATGTTTATATAACATGTTGATATTTCATAATAAATGATTATATAGGATGATAATATAATAATGTGATATTTTTTACCTTTCAAATTAGTATCACATGGGAATAAAAATGATAAATGTTATTTTGATTAATAGTAATAAGTAAATAATTAGTTATAAAACTTATTTGACTCAAAATAAAAATATAAGGACTAGATTGAACATAATAAATAGATTTTATTCAATTTTTAAAATAGTTTAAAATTTTTTCTAAACATTATACCAAAAAGAAAAAGTCATAAAAAGACTCATTAGAAAGAAATGTTGATTTTAAACTAGTATAAAATATTTTCAAAGACTCTTTGTTATTTTAACATATCCATGCTCAATACTTCTTCCACATTTTAAATTCATCCAAGAATATGATATTGAATCTTCAAAATCAATGTGAAAATTTATGAATAAACATGATATATTGACATCGGATATAAATCTAAAATTATTAAACCAAATGCTCATGTGCTTAAATCTAGAATTCTATCCAAAAATTCCAATTTAATGGAAGGGACTTTATAGAGGGCCCGACAGGATATGTCCAAAATTGAACAAACAAGCTTTGCAGTTTGCACGGGCTTTTAACACAACACCCACCTCCATAGCGAAGAAACTCTGATTTTATATTAGTTTAATGAGTCTCCAGACTTCTCCCCTCCCCCATAAGTATTCCAACACAGACGAGTCATTCCAAGGACAAAGATTGCGAGAAAGAGAGAGCTTTGAGTAGAAAGCAAGCAAGACAAAAGGGCAACAAACACCTGGCTTTGATTTTTTCCCGATGTGAAGCAAGCATATATGCCAAATTTGCATGAACAAAAACAAAAACATTTTTAAGTGAGGAAAGAGGAATTTTGATCAGGGGCGGGTGAACAGCTTCCCTTAAACTACATCTTCTCTTAGGACCTTTTACCCCTTTTTAGTATTCTTCAGATTTACATTTCTAAGCAAAGTGACTACTTACAGCAACGTGAGCTGCTCAAGAATCAAATCTTTTATGGCCAACCCTGCCGCTTGTCCCCCGTCATTGCCTTGATTGCCCTCTATATACCTCCCTAAATCAGTCTTCTTCTCTTTGAGTGGTTTGGAGGTTGAAGCAAGTTAAGACAGCTTTGCCCTGGAGTTCTTTGGCATTGCTGAGGCTGAGCCATGGAAAGCAGGATTTGCATGTTCCTTCTTTATTCAACAATGGCGGCCACTATCTTCATGCATTGCGGTAAGCCGATTTCCGCTATTAAGTGAAATTCAGCTTGAATGATTCATCTCAGCATATATGTCGCATTTCACTTTGTAATTAGCTTTGATTCTCCTTCTCGGTTCTTCTCCCAATTGTGCACTGTTTAACTGGATAAACGACCTGACTGTGCAGATTCTGAAAATTTTAAAATGCTTTTTCTGTAAATTTTCTCCTCTTCACATTGAATAGGTTTACACCCAAAATTTTTAGAATTATTATATTAAGATTATCATCCTGTGTTTTATAATTGTTTTGCACATCAGATATTCCAATGTTGTTCCATGTACACTTGATTCCATGGTCTACACTACACCTCGGACTATCCCATGACATTGAATTGTGTGATTCCTTAGACACGAAGAGTTGTGTTACCATCAACTTTTATTTATTTAATCCATTTGTTTTTGCTGATGTGCCGTTTACTTTTACTTCTTTAGTCTCATAACGAGTCAAAAGGTTACATGGAATATACTAAGTTTGCTTTGTCACTAAGTTTCTGCTCAAGCCAATATAGCTTATCAAAACTGAGTTTTGCATTCAAATTCATGTAATTTATATCTTTCGATAAACAACATTTAATTATGTTGGAATGCATTACCCAACTGAAGGGAAATTAACCTTTAGTTGAAATGGAGCAGATCAGGGCAGAAACTTTTGCATTGTGATGATTAATTGCAAATCTCTAAGATTTTTTTCTCCTTTGGGCAGATGCAAGGAAATCAATGGGACTAATCAAAGATCCAAAACATTCAAGAAGTTCTGTCATAAAGCACACAAAGAAATCGCAACTTATGAGTAAGCTTATGAGTTTGGTCATTGAACAACCTACTGATACATCTAATACTCAACCTTATGGTGTAAGCTCACCATTTTCTTTGCCACCTTTTGATTCACTACCCCCTGTGAATTCCCCTCCTTATTGTGTTAACCCCCCTGTCACCCCCGGAACCCCTACTACAGTCCTTCCACCTCCTAGTGGAACCACACTCTCCCCACCATCTCCCTCTTACATCCTCCCTCCGGTTCTTCCAGGCCAAAGCCCACCACCAAGCTCAGGTGGTGGAGCTGTTCCAAGCCCGCCCCAATTCTCGGTCACCCGAATCCACCGGCAATATTTCCAGCCCCCCCACAAGCAATTCCAACACCCACATTTACATCCCAAGCCCATCGGGACCCGGGAGCCCACCTTATTATGAGCCTAGCCCACCATCCATAGTCTTGAGCCCACCATTCTTTGTTCCATCCCCATTCGGTTTTAATCCGAGTCCACCGGTGTTTCTACCACCGATTGTGTACCCTCCCCCCACGGTTCCACCACTCCCAATGTGGCTCCAAGCACGGCCTTGTGGTGCGTGGCTAAGCCCTCAGTGCCTGACCCTATTATTCAAGAAGCTATGAACTATGCATGTGGGTCTGGAGCAGATTGTGATTCGATTCAGCCCAGTGGGTCATGCTTCCAGCCTGACACCTTGTTTGCTCATGCTTCTTATGCTTTTAACAGCTACTGGCAAAAAACCAAGGTTGCAGGTGGTACATGTGAGTTTGGAGGCACGGCCATACTCGTTACAGTTGATCCAAGTGAGTTTGCCAATTGAAATTTTCAAGTACAAAACCTGCAATTAAAAACTATCTGAGTCTTTCAACATTGCTATGTTTCATTGATTAAGAATTTGTGGCTAGTTGCTAACATTAAATTCGACCCTAAGCCCTCCAAATAATAAAGAGAACTTGGCAAATTGCTTCTGATTTTGTAATAATTAAATTTCAGAATAAAATTCAAATGAAATTTTACTAACTTGTGTTAATTCTTTGTACTGTGCTAACAGGCTATGATGGTTGCCATTTTGAGTACCATTGATTGGTGATGATAGGGCCTTCCTCTTGGCAGCTCCAATACTCATCTCTCTTCCTTTTTGTTCCCCTTCTTGGATTATTCTTTTTTGTTCCTTTTTTCCCAATAAAGAATGTAGATTTTTCTTCATGTTTCCATGACCCACACATAAGTTTGTAAGTATAAGAGTCACGTCGTATATAATAGTTTCTTAGGTGATCCCATATAGATATAGCTTCTTTCTTTTCGATATTAGGTGCTTTGGCCTTTGAAATTTTCTATTGTAAATGGGATCCACCTCTCCCTTCATGATATGTATAATTTGCATTTGGAAACTCCTGAAATGTACGCGACACATCAATAAAATAGGAGATGACAATGTTCTCATTCACTTGCCTATTTGTTTATCAGGTTCTTTTGACCCTTACCTCCTCCTTTTCATTCACATACTTTGTTATTACTCTTTTCGCTTGGAGTTAATATATCTCATACTTATTCAAACTTTTATCCAATTTTTTGTTTTAGAAACGTGCAAGCTCATAAACTATTAATAACAAAATTTGATAGTATTTAATTTATTGATAATATATATAAATATTATACATTGATAATACATCAACTATAAATTAAAAAAAAAATCTAGTTATACAAATCTTTATTGGCATAGTATTTAAAAAAAATTCATAAGTTATTTACGAAAATTCAAATAAATCTTTATACTTCTATCGTATTCAGTTAAGTCTTTATATTATTATTTTGAGCAAAATAAGTTTTTGTATTTTTATTTTTATTTTAGGTAAATAAATTCTTATGACTAATGATTAACTTATTCAAAAATTATAATATTTTTATATCACATGATGCTATGTGACATGTTAAATATATTATATTGATATGAGATGACATGTTAATATATTATAATTGATGTATATGACATGCTAATTTGACATGTAATATGATTTTGTGACATTCTTTAACCTCCACATCATTGTCATGTCTTTATCATGTAGATATAAAATAATAAATCATATTTAGATTAATGATAATTAGTCAATCATTAATATGGTGGCTTATTTAATTCAATAAAATATCAAGACTTAATTTAATACAATAAAATAAAGACCTATTAAATTTTTAATAGTTTAGGGTTATTTGAGCCTTATACCATCTTATTTTTTTTCAAAATTTGAACATAAGAATTTCAAATTATAATTTCAATTTTTAATGATTGAGTTTGGAGGTATTGATTGAGATTCTTATTTATATTTCTTTAAGCAGAAATAATAATAAATATCAAAAATTGAGAGTCATATGTATTTTTTTTCAATTTAAACAATAATTTTATAATTTTTAATTTGAAACAAAATTTTATTAATATTTGACATATCTGTAACTATCCATTATAAAAGAAATCGAATTAATCTCGCACAACATCATGTTCAATAAATCGATAATTTTGTTTAATTAAAAGCTTTACTCTTGATTTCTCGCTTTCTTTTTTAGTTAATATGTTGAACAATAAAACTACCATTATCTTATTTTCTTGTATCAATATTTAAGAATCTCTCTATTATCCTTTTCTTTTAAAACAATTTATTCTAAATAGTAGAAAAAAAGAAGAAGCACTATTTACAGGTGCATATTATTGTGACTTCCAATCTCAGGAAACAAAAATTTTACAATCCTGGCCCAGAAGATCCCAACCCAATCATTAGCTCCACGAAAGGATCAAACGACGTCGCCCAGTGGGCACACAAAACAAAATCCGGTTCAAGTTCGTCCTCTGCCTTTCTCCTCTCCCCTCCCCTCTTCTGTCCCGTGATCGCGAAACACCACACAGATCGGACTCTTCTTTCTCTCGTCCATTCCTTACAATGAAGATTTTTCATCTCTTCCTAATTTTCACTTCTCTTTTCATTTCAAGGTTTGCTCTCTTGTTTCTATCTCTTTATATAATTAGATCTGATAGTGATAATTCTTTTCATTGATTCAATTTTTGCTGATTTTATTATCGTAGGCTGAACATACTGGATCCGTTTTCTTCATCGATAGTTCAACTCATCAATTTCTTCGCACTCAATCAACCAGCGATGTTGCTCAGGTATTTATTTATTTTCTCCTAATTCATTTCAGTAATTTGTAATCAGGTTTCATTTATTTATAATTTATGATGAACTTTCAGTATCAATAGATTGTGTGGATGGTTGCTTTTAGTTGGCTAGAAACTGTAAAGTTGGTTAATTTTGTTGCATTTAGCTGCTTTACTATGTGTAATAACTTTTCTTTTTTGAATTAGTTAATAATAAAGATTGCGGTTCTGATAACTGATATTATCGATTCACTGCAATGATTTTTAGATGATAAATCCCTTTGATTAGATATGATCAAGTGGATTTGGACCTACTTAGATTCACATTTGATAGTAGGAGAAGTATTTTGTCCACAACCCTTTTTTTTTTTTTCTTTTTGAAGTTTCGTTCTGCATGTTAAGATTGGAGTATCTTATGCTATTCATGCTTCTAAGTTTTTAGACGCATTTTGGTTCTTTTCTCTCACTTTCAGTGCCCCAACCCCTCCCCCCGGCCCCCTTCTATTTCTTACTTTAACAGTCGCAATCAATGCTGCTGTATGAAGTTGGTGCTGCTGTATCAGTCTTGCTTGGTTTTGCACCACCTACTATGCTTTCAGCTGCCGGTTCATCTAAGGTGTCTTTTTACTTATGAGTCCTGACTAATAAATCTTTTTCATTTCCTTTTGTTTTTGTTTTGTTCATAGAGCTTTTGTTTAATTGTGTTATTGCTGTTTTGCAGCTGAATGAGGTTCTCATTCCAAATCCATTTGATAGACCCCGTGCTGTTTTTCTGCTTGAAGTCACTGGAGTTGATGGTACCTGCACGCATCTCAATGTTTATTTTCTTTCTGTTTTCTTCTTCACTCAGTCCCCCATGCCCATTTTGTTTAAATGAATGTTTTTCGACCTCCAGATCCTCTTGTTGTAGACCCCAAGAATGCTCTCTTCAGCAATGCCTTGAAGAGTGTGTTGATCTTGGTTCAAGAGCAGACATTCAGCTTCCAGGTACCTGACCATTTGTCAAGATTTAAAAAAAAAACAGATGTGTAAACTGTCAGACTCTAGTCATGACTTTTTCATTGTGTTTAAGATTTTCCCCTTATTTATATTCATTAGGATTTGTTCATATTATGAATTTCTTGCAGATGAAGAGGAAGTCTCTGTGATTTCTTTGGATGAGCCTCTGGGAGATCACACTGAAGAAGAGATCAATGATTTTGTTAGTTTATTATTCTAGGCTTTAGCCGATATCTCTGTTGTTTGTAGTCCATTTGATTGCTTATTTGGGTCACACATGTGACAGTGACGGTGGTTTTATGTGTCTGTTTAGGCATCTTGGTTGGGTGGATTGTATGTTACTGATGCTACGAAACCTCTGCAAGGAGTCTTGACTATTCCCTTGGCAAATGGTGACAATGTGAATCTTCATATGTCAAAGGTATCATTCAGGAGCTAATATTTTATGTTCTGCTTTTTATGAACTGTTCTTGACTGACACTTTTATAGTAGTAGCAGTAGTATTTTGTCTTGAATTCTCAATTACCTCATTGAGAGCTTTAGGTGTCAATTTTTTGCAGAAAGTACACAGGGAATTTGCATCAAAACTGTTGGCTCTGTCCCACAATATAAGGAAAGCAATGAAGATGCATGAAGATTTGTCACAGACTTTGCACAGACCTGCTGAGTTAATAATGGGTTCTTTTGATGCAATTAAGGTACTAAACATACAGACTTGATCTGGCTAATACTAACTATTATTTGGTTTCTTAGATTGGTGTCTTGTCTGAAAATGTATTTGGAAACCATCATCTTTAAGTGGAAGGTTTCTTTTGTTGTCTTCATCTCACTTTCCATGATTAAAACTCTTGTAAATCCATTAATGAGGAAGAAAAGGGTTTATTTGAATTGCAGTTCTTTTTGTTAAAACTGAAATGTAACTACCCTTCTACGACATGTATGACATTTCTCCCTATTGACAAATACCATTCTCAAATGCCATGCTTGCTTGGCCTTGTAAAAATGTGTCATCTGTCTTCTTATCAAATGTGGGTGAGAAGACCTGCTTTGTATCTACGATAATGAAATATTAGTTTTGATGTTTGATATTGATTAAAACTCTCTAAGATTGTGTCTAATTATGGGCCTCAGGTTTAGAAAATGGTTAATTCATGTATCTAGTCATCTATCTTCATGCTATTGTAATGTTTGTACTGCTTTTTGTTTTGTTTTTCTTCCTCATCACTTAACCTCCTCCCTAATCCTTTTGATGTTAAAAAAAATATGTATATTACAGGCTATGCAGGAGCAGGATGACGCTGAGGGTATTGATAAACAAGGAGTGAGGCTTCTGCTTGCCACAATTTCCAAGATATTTGATTCATTGCAGACAGCTTATGAAGGTTGGTAACACATTGAACACTCCATTGTGGAAGGAAAATGACCTCCACTTTGCTAATTAATTAAGAGTGAGAAATATGCTGTTATTCCAGTTGTGTTCACCATTTATATGCTCTGTGTATACAAGTGCAAAGGCAGACAGTCTGCAACTTGTTTAAAGAAAATAATGATATATAATTTTATACATATGCATGTGCATGTGTGTGTGTATATATTTCGGTTTTTATTTTTATTTTTTCTATCATAGTTTCTTTAGCTACGTGAAAATAGACATGACAATATATGTGGAAGTCTCTATGCATTTATGCTGCTGATAGTATCCTCTAAATTTGCAGTGAATGCTTTTCATCTTGAGTTATTGACAGCATTTGTCTTTCTATTTCCCCCCATGCCCCTCCATCCAATCCCTTGCTGCCAATTTGTTTAACAAATCTAGTTGATGATTTGGGCAGGTCAAATTGTTGGAGCTATTGTCTTTAATGGGGTACCTCAGCCAGAATCAAAAACGTTGATGAATGTGATGTTTACCTCTCGTCCATCTCCGCGTTGGTTGGCAGAAACAAAAAGCTCTCAGAATATCACGGATGCTGCACAAGTGTTAGTTAGAAGGACCCTTGCTTGGGTAACTGGACTAGTTCTAGTCATTGCAACTCTTTTAGGGGTAAGATTTATTAAGTTGGATGCCTGATTTTACATGGTTTCTGCAGTGCTTTTTGACATTTCTGGTAATATTGAAATTTCCATGAAATCTATAGTTGCATTGCATAAAATCAGACAAATCCTAAGCCTTTTGACAAATGTGGAAAGTTCTTTTATCCCAGTTTTAAAACAATTGAAAAGCTCAGAAAAAGGTTTAACCAGATGTACACATTTACTTCTATGTTTTCCCCTCAGAGGTGTCAACTCTGTTGGAAAGGATTGAAAAAAATTCTCTATAGATTGTCAACTGCAAAGGTTTCGGTTTGTGTCTTCATTGTTCATATGCTGTTGACTGATTGAGGATTTCCCATGACTCTGTTCTTGTCATCTGGTTGGGTGTGGCTATAAGGCTGTTGAGTCTAATCAATTATATTTCTCTGTGCAAACTAGGGTATTTGATTATCCACTCTTGGTTTGTGTTTTTTAACTGCAGGTTTACTTCCTTCTCAATATGCCACTGACAAGGGACACACTTTTGTATTCTAATGTCAAGTTAGACTAAGCTGGAATAGGCCCAAGTACAATGAATATTTGAACTCTCAAAAGCAGCCCCAGTGTGATTTATCCTTTATTACCAGGCAATTCACGGTCATCTTATTACCTTCTATGAAGCTGTTGGTGTAGGATAGGTTAATCTGGACAGCCAGCAATTTTTTTTTTCCTTAGGCTTTAGTAGCTTATATCAAGTAGAAATTGTACTATCAAAAGGTTGGGGTTCCTTGGCAAGGGTGAGTGCTATTGGGCAAAGAAGATTGAGCTTTACGATTGTATCCATCTGGTGGTAAAGGATTAGTTTCGGTTATCTATTTGATTTCAACTAGATTTTGGCTTGTGTTAATGTATGTTTTGTCATTTCATGTGCTGATAATTGTATTTCGAAATTCTGAATAATGAAAATTTCTCATCAATCATGGAACATTGTTGTACAAAAATGAGCGTTTGTAATCCAACATTTTGTTGTAGCTCCTTTCCTGGTAATAAAGCTTTTCTTTGCCATTAGAAATTTTAGAGAACAAAAGGAGCAAGCGGCTACAATGTGAAAAAATAAAATAAAATAAAATAAAGGATTGCCATCTTCCTCACGCCAGTGGTAGCTGGCTAAATAATAAATTTAAGATGATAGATTATTGAATAAAGCAAAGAGAGTGGATAAATCAATTTTAATAAATTATTAACTAAAAACATACTTGTAATATTTATGGGTGTCACTCATTAAATAGTTATTTATTTTAGTATATTAGCATTAAGACAATTAGATTAAACCCCACCTTGATGATGGGTACTTGCGTATTTTCATTTTGGCTAAAACGGGTACTTTGTCTATGTAATTCACTGTTCTTTTTACACTTGCCATTCTTGAGTTGGATTTCCAGTCCTATTTGTGCCAAATTACACAGGAGCCATTACCACCAACTTCCTCACTTCCATCTCAGTTAGGGTTTCTCCAGGTTTGAAGGTTTATGTTTCTTGTTTTTTTACTTGTTTCTCCTCTCGTCATTCATGGCTCAAGAGAAAAACTTCTTTGCTCTCTTGACCGACCAAGAATCCGAAGATGTATCAAAGCTCATTGATAGCCTGAAAGTGGAAGAGCCCTCGAAGCCGGATGCCTTGGATAACAAGAAAGAGCAAAAGCCAACGCACAAGTTTCAGAATATGGATCCTCGAAAGATGCTGGGCAAACGTATTATCCTTCCCAGGCATGTTTTGAGATCTTTCCTTGGTCTTAGGAAGGAAAAGAAGGAAGAGCAAAAGCCTGAAGGAAACAGCAACGCAAAAGAACCAGGAGAAAAAGAAGGCGAGATTAAGGCTTCAAGTGCAACCAACAACAATGGACAACAACCAAGCAGTGGAAACGGTGCAAATGCCAAGATAGAATGCAAGAACTATCCTGATAATCACCATAATCATGGTTATCATCACGGTCAGAGAGGCTATGGAGTTGGCAATGGGTATCAGGGTAACTATAGGAATTACAGCTATGGAGGTGGTGATGGATATCGGGAAAATTATGGCACTCCTCCTGGGTATCAGGTGAATAATAATGGTGGTTACCGTGGTGGTAGGCGGAGTATAAGAGGAAAGGGATTTCAACAAAGGAGGAAATTTTATGAGGAGCAAGCTCTTGCTTATGCTAATAATCATCTACATCAACAAGAATTTGATTTTGGAAAAGAAGATCTACAATATTACGGTGGTTATAGAGGTCAAGGCCATCAAGGATATTACAGGCGTGACGGAGGTGAATGCTATAACAATGGAAAGGTTTACTGTGAAGTGGATGGTGACAATGAATATAACAATGATAATAGCAAGAATGACAATATTGCTGTTGTGGCTAACGAGGGGCAAGAAGCTGCTGCGTCTAAGAGTGGCCACAGTGAGGAAGGAAATGGTGATTATCATGGTGACAAGAAGTCCGAAATGATGGAGAGAAAGAGCAAGGGATTTGAAGATAAATCTGTGATCAAGGCTGAAGAGAAAGAGAAAGTGAATGATGGGAAGAAGTTAATGACTCTTAAAGAGTATGAAGAGTCTCTTCTTGAAAAGAAGAAACCTGTGGAAGCACTGAAGAAGGACGTGGGGAGAAAAGTTATGGCAGATAAGGAATTCGGGTCGATGCAAATGATTGGGAAAAAGAAAGAGGAGAAGAAATATGAGACAAAGAGGAAAGATACTTGTCACAGCCTCGAGGAAGAGAACGTAATTCGCAAGTCAATGAGCCTTAACGAATTCCTAAAACCAGCTGAGGGAAGGGAGAAGAATAAGCAGCAACATGGTGATAGAGCCCATGGGCAGAGACCTTATGGCAGAGGCTATTATGATCAGAGGAATTATGGAAGGCAAGAATGGAAAATGCCTTTGTATGGTGGCTGTAGGCCCTATAATAGAGGGAGAGGCGATGATTATAGTCCTCAGATTGAGGACCTTAGCCAGTTCCCTGTGCTGGGAAGAAATGGGACTGCATAAATTCCTTGTTATAGCTTTACTTGGGTTGGCATGTAGAACAATGAAGTTTCCTAGATGAACATATCAGGTGCTGTAGAATCAAATGAATTTTTCTTTTTGGAAAGATTGGAGTTTCATTGCAACGAGGGATGGGAAAATCCCCTTCAAAAAACATCAGAAAAGAACCAGTGACTTGTGGGCTATACCTGGGCACAAAAAGCAGGTATATTCCCCAAATCTTAACCACAACTATACACACAAACCTGCTATACAAAAATTGAACAAGTATGCACTTCCCATAACTGATACATGCACAATCCTGTCTATACAAACCGCATCAAGTCATGGCAGCAGAACAAAATGGAAACCAACCCTTCCTATCCTTAAAACCACAAAAACTTTTAACAGACAATCAAGTAGCACAAAAATTATCAATTCAAGAGCTGAACATCAGCCACCTGGTCACAGATCGCAAGATATTCAATACTTCTCTAGCAAAAGTTTTCCTCACCAGTTCCATATGTCCGCAGAAGATCCTGCTGCCTATTAACCCTTTCTCTAACCAACTTATCAGCAACTTTTTTTTGATATTTCATTGTATAAACTCTCGAGGGAGGCAGAAATATTCCCCTGAGCTAAAACAAAGCAAGTTGATCCTGATCTGTTATGCTCTGAAGTGGGGATACATCATAGGGTCATCTCAGCCATAACTGTACATTTGACAAAAGATTCCATCTTCCTAAATAAAGCCTAGAATTCCAGCATCCTCTCATGACTATCATACCCTTTTAACACAAGGTCAAAGTGACCCTGCCCAGCATATGAACAAAATAACATCCCATGTCCCTCAAAATAATTTTTTCAAGAACCTGGATTCCTTCCTCACTTTAACAGTGACACCAAAGGTTAAGGGCTATTCCAGCACAGTCACTGGGTCCTCTGTGCGTTGAACCCCAGCTTTCGCAAGTCGATCTGCCAGTTTGTTATTCTCTCTAAAAGTGTGCCTCACCTCCCATCTTCTTACATCATTTTTCAATCGTTCAATATGAAGAACCCACTTTCTTAATCTCCAGGATGCTTCTGCAAGTTTGTTCACCCATTTAACAGCATTACATGAGTCCCTCTCAATTATCAGACTGTGTGATTGATTCCATTTGGATGCAATAAACAATAAAAAAGCTTCTCGAATTGCTCTAATTTGAGCAAGGTTTGAATCCTCTATGCCTATAGCTTTTGAGAAAATGATCTTAACATGTTCGTGTTCATCCCTCATCATTCCCCCAATCCCAGCCTCTCCTGGGCTTCCTTTGGCTGCCCCGTCAACATTGACCTTCATCTCCCCGTGTTGGTTTGCACCACCCCTCAACCTTCCTACCATTTTCCTCGTTTGATAAATTAGCGCCAAATTGGGTGAACCTGTAGGTGTCCAGAATCTCACCATACTTCATAGGCCACTTCGTTTTGATCCAGGACGCATGGGTCGAATCCCAAGCTATGCCTTTGAACACAACTTCATTCCTCTGCAACCATACAAACCATGAAACTGCGTAAAAAGCCATTTTCCAGATCTGTCTCTCTCCTTTTGTTATTGCCGCCTCATTCCATATGTTGAAAAAATTCATTACATTACCAGGGACCACCCAACATGCTCCCCAATCTTCACTCCATTTTGCCCAGACCTTCCATACCTCTGGACAGTGAAGAAATAAATGCCTCACAGTCTCGTGCTCCTTGTGACACAGAACACATCCAGCTGCCTCATTGTTAATTAATCCTCTTCGTAGTAGTTCGTACTTGATTGCCACCTTTTCATGGATTACCTGCCAACAAAACACTTCAATTTGATACGGTGCTAGATTTGACCATATTCTCTTCCATACACCGTCATTGCTCCTACCATTTGTGAGTCTTTGCTTGCACAAAAATTTAATTGTGTAATGGCCAAAAGCAGTACCTTTCCAAGCAAGAGAATCCTTTAATTTTCTGCTTAGATGGTATTGTTCAATGCATTCTTTCAGTTGATTCAATTGGTCTTCCTCCCACCCAGGGTTGGCCTCCTTAATTGCACCTCCCACACCCATACCTCCTCCTCCCATCTGCCAAACTCCTAGATGTATCCATCTTTATTTCTTGCAAAGGCAAAGATTCTGAGATAAAGCTCTTTTTATTTATATATAATAAAAAGATAAATAATAATAAAAAAATTAACAATGAATTAACGAGGATAACAGCACATACAAGTATCATAGGGATTATTGACAGTGAAGCAAAATCCATGAGCATCTTGTCTACTGCACGA